TTTTCTACCTTTTTATGGCTGAATAATACTCCACTGTATGTATATATATATATTTTGTTTATCCATTTATCTGTTGATAGACACCTGAGTTGCTTCCACTTCATGCCATGCACATGGACGTGGGCGGCTGTTTTATACAGGAGACATGTCAGGCTTTGTAGCAGCACTCGGATCTGTCTACCTCCCCTGTAACCCCATCGGCTCCTCCTGAAAGGAATGAGCATGCTTTTTGCTCCTACAATTTCTTGCCTTCAGCATCGAGCTCCCTACATCCTGGTTTGCACTGTCCTCGGCTTCTTTCATCCCTTGAAATGTCTCCATTTGCTGCCTGTTTCAGGCTTTCCAGAATAACTATCTTTTTTTTCTCCCATTACTTCCTCATCTTAAAACGACCCACCACCTATTCAATCCAGCCCTGCTGTTGGATTTCACCAAGCACTACCCTTTCCTCTTCCAATTTTTTCTTCAACTTTTCTCAACTCCCAGATCATCTTTTAAATATACTAGAAAGTTAAATTTGTCTAATTTTTCTCTATTTCACAGCCAGGAATAAACAGATCCCAGCAGATAAAAGGTGATCCTGATATTTGTTTTGGTGATTTTTATTCCTTTGTTCAGCAATATTTATACTCACCCCCCTTGGAGAACTCATAATTCATTACTATTGCCATTGTGCAAAAACGTAAAGGGTTTCTCACCTGGGCAAAGTCCATCCTAACAGTGTATTCCCTATGACAATAAAAAGTAACAAAGAAAACAGAGGGCTTGTGCTCGTCCTCTCTGACCCCTCTGCACTTTTCTGAGTGGTTTCTCACTCAAATTATTAATTGTGGCACTGGCCCTGGGGTTGTTTTGGTTTTCAGATTAAAAAATTTAACAGATTATTTTTTAGAGCAGTTTTAGGTTTCAGGAAAATTGAAAGTACAGAAAGTTCCATATTATCCCCTTAATACTATTCCCCCACAACACACACACACACACACACACACACACGCACGCACACGCACATGCACACGCACACACGCACACGCATGCGCACACACTTAATTTTATTTATATACACACACATTTTCTTATTATTAGCATCTTGCATTAGTGTGGCACATTTGATGATCCAATACTGATACATTATTATGAACTCAAGTCTATAGTTTATATTAGGGTTCATTCTTTTTTTTTTTTTTTAATTTTATTTATCAAACATGGCCCGAAAGGAATTTGTTTGTTTGTTTGTTTGTTTTACGCCTACAGCACCTGGTCCTAGGTGGTCTCCTATCCAAGTACTAACCAGGCCCAACCCTGCTTAGCTTCCGAGATCAGACAAGATCAGGCACGTTCAGAGTGGCATGGCCATAGACTAGGGTTCATTCTTGGTGTTGTACATTCTATGGGCTTTGACAAATGTCATTCCAGAACAGTTTCACTGCCCTAAAAATCCTGTGCTCTGCCTAGTCATCCCTCCCTCTCCTCTAACCCCTGGCAACAGCCATATTTAAAATCATACTTTACACTAATTTTCATGAGACTTTCCATGGATAGTCTCGAATATGTTTGGCCTTATGTGTCCTTGCTCATATCCAAAGGGAGGGAGCGGGTGTTTGCAGGACAGAGTGAATTCTGGTTTTCTTGCTGAGGTTTCTGCATGAGAGACCACACACCAGGAGATCAGAGCAGTGAGCTGACTTGCGAATCCTTCTGTGTCAGTGTGGAAAAAAAAACCTTGTTAATTGCCAAAGAGGGATATGCATTCTTCTCATACACCATCCCAAAAGAATGCAATGGTAATAAATGTTTATTCCATGAAAAACGATTGTATTTAATGTATTAGATGATCAGAATTTTTTTCCTCTATACAGTTCTCAGTTGTGGTAAGCTCTCCCCAGGCCTCCCTGGGACTCTGAGCCCACCCCCCCCCCCTCCCCCGCCGCAAACCTCCCCCACCGCCCCCACCCCCCAAGCAGAAGCCACAGGTCGCACTGACAGGTCTCCCCTGGCTCTTTTAGGACCATCCCTTAGGAGAGGGATTGAGGAGCTCTGGGCCCCTGACAAGTTCTGGTGACTGGATTTCGACCCTATTTCCAGTTCTGGTAATCAGGTTACCTGCCTGATAATCCAGCCCCTTGCCCTGGCAGTTCCCGTTTCCAGGTCCTGCCCTGGTGGCTAGGGCCCTGTCACCTGCTGACAGACCTCTCTCCTCTCTCTTCGCTACCTACTTAGATCTCTCGCTCCTAAGAGCCTCTCGCTGGCTCCTCTAGTCACCCTCACTCTGGGCTTGTCCCCTCCCTTGCTCACTGTCTCTTGGAAAACCAGTGGCTCTCCCTCCTTTTCATCATCACCGGCCCCAATTACTACACAATTGTAAATCCAAACTCGCTGCTGGATTCTGACTCTGGGGCTGTCCCTGTCCCCTAAGCTGTAGCTCCCCTAGCACTTGTCCCACCCTGGTTAAAGATCTGAGTCCAGTGCCCAGAACTTTGCAACCTGCCTCTGCTGCCACTGGCCTGACCATGATCAGCCTTACTCTAAGATAAGGAAGCCTCTGCGGACCACTCTGTGGAACAACTATAGGCTCATCATTAACAGAGAAACCACAGGATGGTGCTCCCAGGAGCTGCGCAACGTGGTCCCTGACAGGCAGATGCCACGGTGGAATCATAAAAGCCCTCTCCAGGATGCTCATTGTGAATGACGAGCTGAATCTCACACCACCCTTCAATCTACGATGTTTCCCCTCAGCCCCTAAAGATGGCAAATGGAGTCTGGTTGATAACAGAGAGCTTTTCTGAAAAAGATGCTATAGATCAAGTTCATCTCCCTACTTGATTAGTCATTTAATATCTATCTATCCAGAACCATTCCCTGGCCACGTCCCGTTCCAGGCAGTAGGGAGTCAACAGGGAATAAGAGACCTGGCTTCTGCTGTCTTGGGGGAAGATAAACAGAAACCAGACAAAAAAGCAGACAGACAGACAAAATAATGACAGAAGGAAAGAAACTGGGTGATGAAATGGAAACTGGAGGTAGGACTTCTGGTCGGACGGGTAGCCAGGGCAGGCTTCTCTGAGGAGTAAGACGAGCTGAGTGCAGAGATGAGAAGGGCTGGGGGAGGAAGCTCCCGTCCTGGAAGGAGAAATAGCCAAGTGCAGGAGCCTTGACCTTGGAAGGAATATTCAAAAAACAAAACAGTGGCTAGCAAGGCCAGAGCATCAAGAATAAGAGAGTAAAGGGGAGGCCATAAATCTGGCCATGGGGGAAGCTGCAGAGTAAGGTGTCCCCATGCCTGCTTTGCTCCAGACCCAGCTTCATGCCCTGCCCCCTTTGTCCCTGTAACTTAGCTCAGTATCTTGGCCAGGTCACTGGCCTTGGAGTTGGAAAGCCTACATTCTCACCTCTGTTCTACCTCTAGAGCTGCGGAAGCCTGGGTAAGTCAACTGCATGCTCTTTATCTACAAAGTGAGGGCGTGAAATGATTATAACCCCTAATATTCCCCAGCAACAACTGTGCAAATGCTGCTTGCTCATGAATGCAGACTCACGAAGAACATCAGGACTCCAAGTGTCAAGGCACCAAGCTCGCACTTCAAGAGCCTAGGACCTTCCCCTGCAAACCTGCTGCCGCTCCTGGGAGAGTGGAAACCTGCCAACCGCAGCCCGGGGACACTAACAACTCACTTGGCGTTGGAGCAGTGTCACGGTGGTATCCAAGAGAGGACAGGCAGGAGGAGAGAGAGGTAACAGGCAGGACGCCCACTCCCAGACAATGAGGCTCTGAAGAGTCCTGACTGAGCAGGAGTCTAAATTGAAACATCATCCCAGTTCAGCGGAGTGATTGCACTAAAGCAAGTTGGCAAAATATCAGACAGCAGGCAATACGACTGCCTGCGCCCCAGGCTGCAGCTGACTCCCTAATTGGGCCAAAGCACATCGACGGTTGGAAGCACAGAGTTCACCCGCAACACCACCGGGAGCTGAAATGGCTAATCCTTTACTCAATTAAACTGGGTTTCCAATGCCGCACATTGCCCCTCCCAGGAAGGACTGTCGAGATCCACAGTCAGGCTGCAAACCCCGGGGGGCCCGGAGCTCAGGCCACTTACAACTCCAGAGACAACGTTTAACTGGAGGGTTTTGGGAAAGGAGGGGCCCACACTGTGGTGAATTCTCTCTGTGCCCAGCACCTATCACTCACAGGGATGGTGCCATGCGGCTTTTAAATCAGGTGCTGCTACTGTTCGGTAAGGAACCCCTGTTTGGGGAGGTAGAGGGGCCCAAGTCATGATGATGCTCAGTACCTCTTGCCTCCGAATTTCACCAGCTGGAACTGCATTGCAGAACTCAACTCCCCGCCTCCTCCCCTTTTTAAAGATATTAGCAGCCACTCAATGAAAACGTGACAGTGAAGACTGATGAGGTTCACAGTAGGCAAGAATAGGCCGGAGTTATTTGCATGTGCATTTCTGTAGGGCCTTTTTCTTAAGCCAGTTTGCACCTTCCTCCCACTCTTCCTGGGTGTGACATGGGGCCCAGCCTGCCTCATCAGCATCACTGGGTGTACATAGTGGAAAAGAGAGATGAGGGGACACAGCAGACTCCATTGTCATTAGTTTGTGATATCTGTGTGCTAAACAGACAATCCGCTGTGCCCCTTCCCCAATCCCGTGCTTTCCTCTTAGAAGTCAGAGCTGCTGGCAGAAGGACAAAACGGCTCCATTCTCCGCTCCGATTCTGATTCCTCTAATGGGAAAGAGCCCAGGTCACAAAACATGCAGAGCACATGCTCACAGTATGGAGTGCCTTCTAAGTAATACTTTTCTGATTCATTTTTATTAAGAAATTAAATAGTTGATCTATTTGAACTCTCATTAATAGATATTAAATGTTGTTTATTATACGAATGCTAATAAATCATTAGGTTTTTTAAAAATTAACCACCAAATGGCTAACAAATTAAATTTAAATAATTAAGTCTGATATTCCTAGAGAGGGATCACAGAGGGTGGTACATTAGAGAACCTGTTTTTATTTTGTTTGGTTTTAAACAAAAGGAGCCCGTGCTGACTGCTGGCTGGGGCCTCCCTGGCCCCAGTCCAGAAGGCAGTGTGCATCTGTGAGGCAGCTGACAGGGAGGGGCGGCAGTCTGGAGTGTGGCCCAGCTACCTGGGCTGCAGGGCCACGTCCGTGACCTTGGCCTCATTAGTCCCCACTCTAACCAGCCGCGCTAATCAGCGCCGACATGTGTTGTTCAAGTGTTGATGGCTCTGTTGCTTATCGGCTCTTCTATGGCTGCCGGCTGCTGCAGATAATTAAAAGCTCCAACTCTACAACAGAGATGGCCAATCAGCCTCATCTGGAATTAGAATGAAAAACTATTATCCCCATTCAATGCAAAGGAAGCAAGAAACAAGAGGGCCCCACTCTGTGGGCAGAGTTTTCATTGGAGTGCACAGCCCACCTTTTCAGCAGCTGGCCTGGGCCACGGGTAGACTAAGGCTGAACATACTGCTGTGACCTGACTCACCTAACTCAATGTTCCTTACAGACATTCTCACACAGGGGCATTAAATAAGAAGCACATCTATGGTATTCTAATTTGCAAAACCTTAACAGACTGTTAGGTTTATTTGGCTGTAGCAAACCAAGATAGCCCTGGTATATATCTAGAGCTGCACTGTTTTCTCTTAAAGCAATGGTATTAATTATACCTTGCATACTCACCATGATATTACATGAGATAAAATTACAGGTGAGTGAGAAATGATCAATTCTTTAAAAAAAAAATCTCAGGCAATGTCACCTAGGCCAAGAAATGCATAAAGAGAAAGGGGCAGAGCCGACAGTGACCAGCCAGTTCCAAGCGGCAGTCAGGCCGGCACCACACTGTCATCTAAGGCAGTGGTTCTCAAAGCGTAGTCCTGTGGACTCTTTCAGGGGATCTGCCCTGTCAAAACTATTTCCATATACCGCGGAGATGCTCTCTGCCCTTTCCGCTGTGTCGATATTTGCACTGATGTGACAAACGCAATGGTGGGTCCGGTGCTGATGAGTGAATCGAGGGAGTGGCTCCAACAGGGATGAGTTTTCTTCACCATCACACACTCAGGGAAGGAAAAAAGAAAGGAAGAAGAAAAAAAGCCAGTTTCACTGAAGAATGTCCGTGATGAAGCCTGAAAAAGTATGACATACTAAATCTCAACCCAGAGTCTTTCTAACACCTCAGGATGAGATGGGAAGGCTGCACACAGCGCCTGCGCTGCACCCCAAGTATGACACTGTCTTTAGGAAAAGCGGATGCGTAATTGTCGGAGTTGCGAGCCCAACCAGCCCCTCAGTTCACGAAGCACGGTTTTTACTTGAAAGAGAGACTGACGAACTATGGTTACTCATATTTGAGTATATGACAAACATTTTCTTGAAAATGAACAAAATAAGCCTATCACTTCGAGGAAAATGAAATGTTGAAACTCAAGCTTTCAAGATAAATTTAGTTTTGGAAAACTTGTTAACTGGCACTCTGAGCTTAACAGCCTCCCAATACTTAGAAGATTTCTCCAATGAGATGAGTTGTGATATGTATGAAAGTGATTTTTGGATATTGTATAATGAAATGTGTCAACATTTGGAAGATCTATATAACTCAGTGAACCAGTATTTTCCAAATGATATGATATGCAAATGATATGATATAACATCGGTTCAAAGTTCGAGACAGACCCGTGGATCTTAATGTAAGAGAATAGGAAAAGTTCATTTATATAGTTTCTGATTTCACATAGCAGCTAGTCTTTAAGAAACTAGCACTTATCTAGTTTTAGTGTAGTATCAAAGAAAAATATTTACAATTTTCCGAAAAGGCTATTAAAATACTCCACCCTTTTCTAGCTACATATCTGCACGTAACTGAATTTTCTTCATATACTTCAACTAAAATAATGTATCACAATAGTTAGAAAGCGCTCACAGAAATAAGAATCTAACTGTTTTCTATTAAGCAAGACATTTAAAAAAAGTTGCAAAAATGTAAGATGATGTTACTCTTTTCTCTATTTTTGCTGTTCTGAAAAAGTTATTTTTCACAAAAAATTATTTGTTAACATGCAAGAGACTTATTATTGTTATTTTAAATGAATTAAAATATTTCTTAAATATGTTTTAATTTCTAATGTAGTAAAGAACATAATTCGCATAAACAAAAAGTGCTTTGGGGTCCCCAATAATTTTTAAAAGTGTAAAGAATCCCTGAGACCAAAAATTTTGAAAACTGCTGCTTCTAAGGAATCTTCGCATAAGGTAGCAGGAGAAAGGGGCTCTCGTAAGAAGCACTGCCACTGTAGAAGTGTTCCAGACTAAAGAGACATGACAACTAAATGTAATACCTTACCTGAGACTGGATCCCGTACTGAAAATGCTATAAAGAAAATTATCGGGTCAATTAACAAAATTGGAATATAAATGGTAAAGTATTGTAACAATGTTAAATGTATTGAAGACACTAAACATACTGTGGTACTATATGAAAATATCCCTATTCTTGGGAAAAACACAGTATTTATAAAGGGTGCCAAAGGCCATGATGTAACTTACCTTCAAATGATTAGTGTGCATGCGTGTGTGTGTGTGCTTCTCTTTTATAGCTCTGCCCAACTAAGAAACTAAGGCTTCCTACATATGAATTTGAAAGTCAAGGCAAATATCACTTTTCAGCTCAACAAATACTTTAACGCCTAGCATGTGAAAAGCAGCTGAGTAGAAATTCCATAGACTGTTACACAATTTCCCAAGCAAGGTGTATATATTGTGGCCAATATCATGGTCATGAGCCATTTAACAACAGGGATCCCTTCTGAGAAACGCATCATTAGGACATTTAGTCATTGCATTAACATCATAGAGTGCACTTTCACAAATCGAGACGGTATAGCCTAGTACACATACACCTCCGTTGCATATGTGGTCCGTCGTCGACCAAAACGTTGTTATGCAGCACATGACTGTAGGAACAGGTGTTACTAACCCCCTTCGCCCATGCAGCCTCCACTGTAGAATTTGGGATGCCAAGTACCCTGACAGCCTCCCTTTGCAGCTAAGGGTGGCCATGTCATCTACTTGTGGCTAATGAGACCTAAAAGACAATTTGCTGGAAGATTCCTGATAGAAGGGGAAGGCAAGAGGGGAGAAGTCTAATGCCCATCTCCATCCCGTCTTCTTCTTGTATTTAATGAGGGTGCCTGGAGCTCGACAAAACAAACTTGAAGCTATGATGTTAAGATGGCCAAGTGAAAATAAAAAGCCTACGTCATTGCTGACATCCCTGAACAGCTGAACCAACTCCAGCAAATGCTTACCTCTATACTTACCATGTGAGACAAATATACTATTTAAGCCACTGAGAGTCAGGTGTCTGTTACTTACAGCTGCACATATTACTGACGGCTGCTTATTCAGGAAAACCCGGGAAAGGCAAGAGAATAAATACAAAAGGCTGCACGCCGTGCACCACTGTGCAGAGGAAGCAATTCTGTAATAAAATTTCCATTTCAAACCAGAGCTGAATGGCATTTTTAACAATACCAAAGATGTAACAATTTTCATTAACAAAAGTTAAAATAGAGAACGCCTGCAACAGTCAGCATTTTACAGTGATTTAAGACCTGAACGGGTCAAGGCATCTTCTAATCAGATAGGTTTAAATGGAAACATCATCTCTGGGTGTCCTGCCAAGAGTGTATATTATTGCCAAATTCCCAATGCAAGACCGTATATAAGAATGCTTTAACTGAAACACAGAAGTTAAAAATAAGACATTTAAATAGTAATCTCCCTTCTCTCTCAAAGATAAATGTGCCCATTAACCCTGGTGCTAACAGGAAGATTTCTTTCTCTTACATTTCATCTGACCATTTTTTTCAAGCCACTCATGAGGAAATCGGTTCGGAGAAAATAATTTGGGAAGTTGGCTCCTGATCAGCTACTTCACTGAATTAAAGTGCAATCAGGTTTATAACTTTTAAATGGAAATATTAAACATGTGTATTAAGTACCTCTGAGTGAAATACTGTGCAAACGTGGGTGGAATGGGGGCGAGTAGGCACAGAGACACACAAGACACACATACGCCCTTGTGGAGTTCACCATCCAGTTAGAACAGGAAGAGGTCATTGCGGGATTCTCAATGAAATGTTTCAATAATAGTTCTAGATAGCAAAAGAGATGTCATAAAAGTGCATGATTCATTGCCAAAAAGACTTGCTGACAATAACTGCTGCAGGGTTTCAGAGAAGAAAAAGATCAGCTGGAGCTGAGAAAGGCCTGGGGGAGACATTTTAGAGAAAGCGGGATCCTAGCTCAATCTTGAAAGATGCATCTAACCCTGTGGGTGGGCCAAGGAAGCATATTAACAGCCTCCTAGAAAGGCTGTTTTTATTTTTATTTTTTTTTCAAAGTGAGAAGTCCTCCAGGATATTTGTGTGACTGGTGTAGGGAGGGAGGCAGTCAGGGGCCTAGGTGGTTCAAAAGAAAGTGGCAGCCAAAAGGTGGAGAAAATCCAAGAATCCATCAACAGATGAATGAATAAACAAAATATGGTATACAGTGGAATATTATTCAGACTTCAAAAGGAAGGAAATTCTGACATGTGCTACGATACGCGTAAACCTTAAAGACATCATGCTAGGTGAAATAAGCCAGTCACAAAGAAAAAGTTCTGTATAATTCCACTTATATGAGGTACCTAGAGTACTCAAATTCAGAGGCAGAAAGTAGGACAGTGGTTTCCAGGGGCTGAGGGGAGAGGGGAATGGGGAGTTAGTGTTTAATGGGCGCAGAGAGTCAGTTTTGCAAGATGAAAAGACTTGGAGATGGATGGTTGTGATGGTTGCACAACAATGTGAATATACTTAATACCACTGAACTGTGTATACTTAAAAATGGTTAGGATGGCAAATTTTATTTTACGTATATTTTAATGCATTTACACACATACACACACACACACACAGAGAGAGAGAGAGAGAGAGAGATTTAAAAACATAGAGAAAGGACAGCAGCAGGAAAGCAAAGATGCAGACTGCGGTTCAAGAGGGAGGGCAGGGCTCGAGAGATTTGGCAGTTGACCGCCAAAAATAAGGGTAACATCTTTCTTAGGCTCCAGGCCTGTGAGACCCTTGGGCTCCATCTAGTAATGCCACTACTGAGTGGTGAGCAGGTGGTAAACAGAAGCCCTCCCCCAATTTTCTTTGGAAATACTGAACTTGTTTTAACGTAATGAAAACCTTTAAAAACTTTAAAAATCTCTGACCTTGGACATGAATAAGAGCTGGGTGCTCGCTTCTGAGCCTGCCCTCCCCCTACTGGCCTTACTCGAATGCGGACACTAAAGGAGACAACTCAATCTCAGAGAAAATAAAGTGCAGGTCGTATCTGCATGGCACAGGTAGGTGGACAGCATTATTTAGTTTAGTAAAGAGGGTGGCAAAGTTGGGCTTTATTTTGGGTTCCTAGACCCAAATTCAACCTTAGTAGGGGAATAATTTTCCCCCATATCACCAAGCAATTTTCAGGACACCAGCTACAACTCAACTCAATTCTGTACTATCTGGATTTAGCATCAGATCCAACAGGTAAAAAGGGCTTAGTCCTACAAGACTGCACCCACCCACCCACCCCCAAGTTCAGAGGCCAATTACAAGCCCAGGTTGTCACCGGTACTATCGACCAACTGGCTATAAATCAGGTTCCTACCACCCTCTCCCTGAGTTCAATTAATTTGCTAGAGCAGCTCACAGAACTCATGAGAACGTTTCACTTACTAGATTATCCATTTATTGTAAAAGGATGTAACTCAGGAACAGCCAGATGAAAGAGATGCACAGGGCAAGGCATGGAAAAGGGGGCACAGAGCACCCTTGACCGTACCAGGAGGGCCGCTCTCCCCAGATCTCCACATGTTCACCAACACGGCTCTTCCAGATCCTGTCCTTTGGGTTTCTCTCAAGGCTTCGCTATACAGACATGAGTGATTAGATCACTGGCCACCGCCGATTGGTTCAACTTCTAGCCCCTCTCCCCTCACCAGAATGGGGTCGGGTGGGACTGAAAGTTCCAACCCTCTAATCGCACGGTTGGTTCTCCTGGAAACCAACCCTCATCCTTACGTGGGACCCCAAAGTCACCTCATTTACCTAACAAGAGACACCTTTATCACTCACATCACATAGGATAGTCCGAGGGTTTTAGCTCCGTGCCAGAAATGGCAAAAAAGATCAAATATATATCTTAATGATAAATCGCAATATCGAAGGCTTCATCTAAATAACAATTCCATTATCTGACCCTCTGCATCTTCTCTAACACTGAAGCAGGAACCACTGCAGAGGCCTCCTGAGGCACGGTAGGCGCTCAGCAACTATTTGGAGATTCATATACTCTCGTGAAGAAATGGCGTTAGACCACTCCGACAGTTCTGAAAGGAAAATTGCGTTAGCTCTAGGTCTTTTCAGAAGAATTCTTGGGCATCCTCATTTACTCTAAATGTGATAAGCCTTTCCTCTAAATGTGACCTTGGATCCCAAAAGTCCTAGGCCCAAGGTTATTTTGCCTGCCTCCACAGATGTGACCTGTAACTCTCATCCCCATGGTTCCGACAGCAGGTAGGTCTGTAAAGCCCCGGTCCTGTGAAGTCCAGTCTTCCCACGAGTTTTAGGGAGGCCTCCTGACTGACGACTTGATGAAACTACCATTTTTAGTGACCTTACTTTAAAAAACAAAAACAAGTGAACTATAACCATTAAAACTTCTTACTGGTGTCACAATAAGAAAATGATCTCCCCTGCATTTTTAGGCCCTGCTGCAATAATCGATTCTTCAGCCTAAATATTTTTAATCTGTAGGTAGATATGGACATCAGAAGAGAAAAATATCTGTCTAGCACACAGGAAGTTTAGATCAGCGATCACACGAGAAGTTTATGCAAGCTTTTCTCAAGATTTTTCTGCTTATACTTGTTCCCTTATTTTGCTTCATTTTTAATTTAGGAAAACATGGCTAATATACTAGATCACTTTCATGGCTGGGTCTTCTTGGGCTTCAGAAGTCTGTAAGGGCAGACTTGTAAAAAATACAAAAGCATAAAATGTATCAGAAAAATGGAGTTCCTATCATTTCACTCACAAATTTTGCCTTTTAACTGTAATTCTGCCACTAACAGTTCAGTGAAAGGTGGTTTCTTTATTGTCATTTATTAGCCATGACAAGCAGCAACATTCCTCTCAGACACAGTCTCCCTTCACCACAATTATTTAGCGCTGCCCGCAAGACAGAAGACTGCTCGAAACTCCTTTCTGGAACGCTTTTCTCAAAGGCAACAATTCAAAGCAAACCCCTATTAACTGGAACACTGACATCTGCAGAATTCTCTGGACAGAAGATTCCACTACTCGCATAGTTAAGGCCAGCAACTAAGACATAATTACTTACACTCCAGTCACTAGGAATCAAGTTCAGCAACATGGTCTATACCTGGAAGCCTCACACACCCACACTGAGAGCATCGCCCTGCACAAAGGACTCAACCTCAGACTGTCAACAGACACACCCCCTTCTCAGCAAGGGTCCTTTCTGTTAACCTCCTCCCAAAAGGAAAAAGAAAAGAGATTTTCTTCACTAAACCTCAATGTAGCAAAATGGGACAAAATATAAGATAGTGTCAAATTAAATAAATTAGATGCACTGCTGGCTTATTAGCCCCTGCACATATTTATGAATGTGAAATAACGAAACTTATACATTGTTAACAGGGCTCCCAACTCAGGATTTGCAGCACTGTAAGTATCTAATATATTTTCCATCTTTAAAGTACCTTTACTGATTTTTTTCTTCTACATAGCTTTTGTTTTATGCGTTTTGGAACAAAGAGACAACAAGGGGTTTGGAGGAGGTAACAGAGAAAAAATTGAGAAGATAAAAGAAGAGAGATGTAGGAAGAGGGGTTAAAAAGGCAAGAGAGCAGCAGGAGAAACCGGAACTGGAGACTGAAGTATTACAGCGGGGAGGAGGCCTGGGACCGATCAGATGGCCACACCTGAGACAAGGAGCAGGCACACAGGAGCGAAAGGTAAGAGAACCTTTCTTAACATCTTTAGTCTGGTCCATAAAGAAGTGCTACCCATCAGCCCAAATGGAGCACACGGTGTCAGGGTCTCAGATTGTTCTCTGGGCATTAAAACATATGCAATGTGCTTCGCAGACAATACAGAAATGAGAGAAATGAAGAGTTAAGCATATAATTATAATGTAAAAATGAACATACTTCGGTAGGGTAGATTTTAATAAGACTTTAATAATATTGGTAAGCAGCCAAATTACAAAATGCCCCAGAATATGGAGTACAAAACCTTAGAGACAAAATAAAACTCATAAAAATATAAGAGTGCTTTAAAACAGTAATTATCTTTAGGATAAAGAAACCATTTTCTCAACAAAGGTACTGAGCATGTTTAATAAAAATTAAATGAGATTAAAGACAAGGTGCACAGTCCCCAAGTCACAGTGATTAGGAAGCTGAGATTTGTGTCAGTGAAGGCAGGCATGGCGCCAGGAGCACAAATGAGCTCCCATCATCAATAGATCTGGAATAAACTGCCCCGAGGTGGGCTGAATTTCCTCACATTTCACTTACAGGATAAGAATTAATTTACTCTCCGGTTGTGGAGTGGCCTTGGAAATGAACCGTGTTGGCACGTGGAGGAGTGGCAACACGGTCCCACGTGGCAGAAGTGGCGCCTGGCGCCCCCTTCCATCCACACAATCCTCAACGCCACAGCAGGGCGTGGTCTTAGGGGTGACAAGAGGAGATAGGCTGTCTCCTCCTGGAACAACTCATTACTCAGATAAACTAATGTAAGAGCTCCGTGTGACCAACAAACCAAAACTAAGATGCCAAAACAACAGGGGTCCCCATCTCCAGAGAAACACTGTGCCACTACCCTGTGGTATCAAGACAGCAGAAGTAGAGAAAGTTACCCACAGCTCAGTTACGCTCATCGGCTGTCAGGACAGATGTGCCATCCTCTCTAGGTCTTTTGGATGAGTGGGTGGGGGTTTCCCTCAACTCTCTAAGGCAAATACTTTAACACTGCTGTCGTGTGGGTCCTATTTCTTTTTTCCAAGGGCACTACATGTTATGCTTCATTTGGGCCAGATGTTCAAATCAGTGTGTCTGTTCATCCCGCTAGGATCACAACAATTATTTATTTGTCCTTCCAGCACATGTAGCAGCATGCAGCAGCTGTGAGATGCAGTGGATGACAGAGAGCTGACACCCTTCTGCAGAGCCATCAGCATCCCAGCAAACCAGGACACAAAGGGAAGGCACCCCACTCCACTGCGACAGGCCATCTACAGGCTCCTTTATCTTAAACCCTAAATCAATAGCTTAAACAGATGCAGATTTCATGTGACAGGAGAGAGAGTTAGGAAGATTTGAGGCTTTATATTCTTTAGATGTCTACTTTTGCTGTACTGGCTATTAAAAAGTTATGTGTAACTTCAAGATGAAAGGCATTAGCAGCTCCTTAGAAGAGGATAATCTCAATCTTCTGGAGGTTTAATGAGATGTAACTCACTGAAGCTTCTGATTCGGTCTGCTGTTAATTGAATCAAAGTCAATGACAATCTTGCTGCACTTTGGTGTGAATTTCCTAAACGTGAGAAACAAAATATATAATGATATTAGCCAGTGAGTAGTTAAAGCGATTTGTTTACTTCGGCTTAACCTACATTTTCTATGGGGAGGAAAAATTTTCCCGGGATTTGCTTGATAGTTTATCCTATAAGAGCCAATTACAGAGCACCAGTGAGAGAAACACAACCCAGAAAAGACCAAGACCCAAAATAATGCATGGGGTGGCTGGGCTTGTAGGTTTTTCAATTGGCTGAGTTCATGAATTATCGGGGGGTCAAAGGATTAACAAGTTAACTGCATAAAATGACATCCGATTACGTTTTCCCATTTAGATTTAGCTTATTTTCTAGGAAATTTCTGCGGCCAATGTGGAATCACTTTAAAGCAAAAAAGAGCTGAAATTTCTTTTGCCTCTTGTACATAGCAAAAATCAGCTAGGTTCAATGAGGAGTCATTTTTAAAAATCATGTTCTAAAAAATGCGGAAGTAAAATAAGCCCATTGTATTTTTTACCCATTAATGTACCCTCTAAAAAGAAAATGTTTGGGGACTAAATATATTCTTTTAAAAATCCATAGAGAGTAAATATCTAATTATTATTATGCAAATAACTTGGATTTGAAGTTTCATAAGGCACAACAGATTCATGACCTATAACCTATATCCCTAAGGAGGAATGGGAGGGGCCAGGTAGGTTACCATTTACAAGAACCCCACTGCTGACCACAAATACTATAAAGGAACTGCTTTGAAAGCTTTTATAGTCTCAAAAGAAGTTTCCACCATGAATCAAAGCTGGATAAACTTACCTGCAAGTAAAACATACCTCCTGATTTTGCCTAGCAAAGATAATCATGAAAACCTAAATGACTTCAAATCTCCATTTAAAATGTCACTGTAAAAAGAATTCCTGGTGTTTCAAACCTGGCAGGTTACTTTCATCCTAAATTTTCTATGCCAGAGTTGTTACATTTGCAAAATTTACAGAGGTTCAATGTTAATATTATAAAACTTGTGAATTATTTTAAATTTCTTGCTACTAGAATAATTAGTCCAAGTCTTGGAAAGCTACTAATATTGAAGTGCAATCACTAGACAGATTGTCTTCAAATACTTTTCTCACTACTCTTAAAAATCTATCCCTAAAATAATCCTTAGATTCTTAGCCTATTGCATTGGAAAAGATGCTTCCAGGTATGGAAGTCGGGCATCACAAGTAGAAATTAAACATCGGCCCAGGTCAAATCTGTTTCTCCATCAGGCTTCCATGCCACCTCTCCCCCGAGCTCTTCCTACTTACCTAAAGTCAACCCGAGCCATATTAAACATGAGCCTCGCAGCTGTTGCCTCCTCACTATCATGGTACTTATCAGACATGAAAATAACTTCTTTGATACCTTAAAAGGCAACAGTGAAAGAAGCCCCATTAGTATACACACCCAGAGACACCACGATGGACGTGCAGAAGCAGACAGCCCTGACAGTGTCTATGATGAATCGCCTTTTCCAAGCGCACTTGCACACATGTCCAGTTACTACAATATACAGCCGCTGCTCTCAAATACAGCAGTGAACACATTATACTTAATCTGCTCTCCAGTTTTTATGGATTTTTTTTAACAAATGCATAGTGAAACATGTCAAGTAGTCAAGCCTTGATCCGATTAACAAATTTTCTTTACGGCAGGCAGTCAAATACACTCTATTCATAAGGCGACTACTCAACTCAAGAGGCGAATGGAGGGGAGTGGAGAATGCTGGCAAAATCAAGGAGAAGTCCCACCGGGCTGCCAAGAACGGCCCTGCAGACCAGCTCAAGCCAGTGCCACAGAGAACAGATCTGTTTTCTTTTCCTGTCTCACCCGGCAGTGCTAACTTCAGGGCCAAGAATCTGGAGGGCGCTTGATCCACCACCCTGCTCCTCCACCAGCCTCTGAAGGGACAGCAGAAGACACCTCACAGGGCACATGCCGACCTTCCCACATGCCTGCCACCACCTCTGTGCTTAAGGACAGCCTTAGAAAACTCCCGAAGGACCTCGCACCATCAGTGCGGGAGCCCACGATACTTCTTAACAGAGACTTTTGATTGTGACACCACTAGACCTCTTCTGCTCAGAGAGCCATGGGCTCGTCAAAAACAGCCCCTTTAAACCAGACATCTGGCTAACGTGATAAGTCTTTAAATCTCACGCCAAGAGTTTTATGGAGATAAAGTGTAACTGAATCTTAGATGTGACAATTTGAAAAAAGTGAAGTATTTGAATTACAATGGCCCAGATTTATGGTAAGAAAAACTTAAAGTAGTACCATTGGAGCCTTATGACATTTATATGCAAAGGTATGTTTAGGTCCTCAAACATCTATCATATATTAGATACAAATTAAAATTTCATATACAGACTCCCAGCTGACCTTGTTTCTGACAGAAATTCATTTCTCTCCCTCCCCCTTAATCTATGCACAATATGTCAGAGAAGAGTAAATTGACAGTAATTATATGCAAAGCCTGTGTTGTTTTTTGGCAGCTTGCAGTTTAAGAAGTTGCAAACTAAATTAAAAACATGCTAAGAATCACAGAGGATACAATTAGTCTTAGAATACCTGGCACCATTCAAAAACAAAACACGGGAAATATCCTGCAAAGATGATAGTGCAATTAATTTAGATCTAAACAATAGCAACTTAAGATCAAACACGTCTGCAATGAGCTACTGATGAGCAGGCAGCGATATAAATGGGACAAATGGAACGGCCGGTTCCTACCTGCCTGGATGATGAGCTTAGCACATTCATTACATGGGAACAAGGCCACATATATAGTACAGCCTTTCACGTCAGTCGAGTTTTTGTTCATGATGGCATTCAGCTCGGCATGGCACACTGTGGGTGCGAACGAGAAAAAAAGAAAAACTTAGACCGCAGCTCATGAAGAATTTATTAATAGTGTTGAAGCATTCCATTCTCCCTCTGAAATAACATATAATAGACTCAATTTAAAAAAAAAAACTGATTAGAAACAAAGCACTGAGAATACCAAATGAGGGTCATGTGGTCTGACAGGTTGGCCATTAGCAGCAAAATGGTTCGCCAAGGCAGCCCTGGGTCAGTAAGCACCTACAGCAGCCAAGAGGGGCCAAGGTCAATATCTTCACCCACCCTCAGTGGAACAATAGCTCGCAGCTCCACAAGACCCTGGGGTATGGAATTGCCCACATAAAACGGCTCATTTGGGTGTCGATATGCACAGGCAGGGATATTGCTGTGGCCGTTAAGAGGGCAGGGAGCAATTTTAAGAGCAAGAGAATCAAGAAGTGAAGCTGAGCATTTCTACCCCAAGGGATTTGCTTCACCTCAAGGTTCTCAACCCACACTCACACAAGGACTCCAGTGGATAACCAGTAGTTTATCTTTTATAAGAAAAATATTCATCCATTTAATGGCAATTAAAAGTCAAGTTCTTGCTATAATGGCCCATTCCACCAAAGATCCCCAAACAGTGATCCACGGTCATCCTCAGACTTGCCTGAATTCAAGGATAAAGGGACACCCTCCTCACCCATACTTATCAAAGCCTACCCATTCCATCGGCCATTTAGCTAGGTATTCCCACCACCTAACCCACAGGCGCTCTTCTCAAGGGAGGAGTCTTACTCACCACTGATTTAGTCTGGAATCCTCTACCTGCTTTGTGAGGTTGCTATATGCTACCTTATATTGCTATTTAATTTTCTGGGTACATTATCTAAAACTATATTATAATCTCCTTGTGACAGTGATTCACAAACTTGTCTGCCTGTTGGAATTCCATGGGCAGCTTCCAAAACACCAACATCCATGTCTCACACAAGGAGCCTGAGACAGCCTGGGGTATGGTCTGGGCCTCGAAATTTTTAAGAAGTTCCCCCACATGATTCTAATGTGCAGACATGTTTAGGAAACACTACCTCACAGAATCCTCTGGTATCGTATCCCCAAGGTGACTTAACACACGCTATGCACACAAGTGCTAAAATAAATGTTTGTTGAACGAATTAATGACGACCTGGCCCTGGTCCAAATCACACAAATCTCCTAGAATTAGAAACACGGAGACGTCAAGGGTCTCTTCCACCCTCTCCAACCAGCCTCCTACACTTCACACCTTCCTCCAGGAGCGTTGAGGCCTAAACTCGTGGCTCTCACACAGCTCGGCCATCAGGTGTTCCCTTAGCGAGCCTTTATTGAATGAATACCTGCTCCGGCTCAGACGGGGTGAAGGGCCACGTTCCTCCCCAGGCCTCTAGCTTCCAGGTAGAACGGCCACTGTGTACGAGTGTGTGTCCCACAGCCGCTCTGCCATGCTGCAGGCAGAAAGCTGACCTAGGGCCCTTCCAGAAAATACAGGGGAGTGCTCGTTTAGTCTGTGAAGACCATGATTTAGAAAGTCTTGGTCGTGCGTGGAAATAAAAGTCTCTAGTATTGTAAGAAAATCTGAAGAAAAAAAAGCTGCACTTAATCAGATCACAGCCCATCAGAGAGCAATCCCCATGGGCCAGAGGGACCTGAGCCAGCTCCCTGAGCCACGCTGGCTTATAAACCTCGAGGGGCGTGAGGACAGGAAAGAGAAAGGCCCTGATGCTCAGCGGCCATGAAGGTGCTGGCCTCAGCAGAAGTCCCCTTGGCCCCATTTCCTTCCCTGGCGACCAAAACATTCCCAAGCAGGGATTAACACTGCTCTGGTGTTAAAAACAATTAGATGTAATTATTTCTTCTATTTCCCCCTGGAGGGCAGAGACCAGTCTTCCAGGTCCTTTGTAACTCCCCCAGAGTGTAATTCGATGCCATGAACATAATGGGTGTTAAATATTTATTGAATGAATAAAAGAGGAAATGCAGATTCCAATTATTGATGGTGACGTTGGGAAATACAGAAAGTCTTCTTAAATTCAAATATCAAAACTATGCTTTCCCATCTAACAAATATTTTTTGATGGTGTTGGTATTAATATTCAGAACTACAGTTTCTGAATCTCTTAGGAAACCTATTACACTGTCCTCTTTTGAATCTCTAAAAATTGTCACACTGACAGCAACTACTGTCCTCTAATTCATCTGAGGCAGTTCAGGGCAAAATTTAACATTATATGTCTGGATTCATTAATGAAAATTACCATCTGAAACAGATTCTCTTGGGCAGCATCCAACATCCCTGTATAAAGGGTGGTTTATAGAAATAATATACAGGATCATAAACAGACTTTCTTTCTCTTAACTGCAAAATCACAAGATGGAAAATATAAGGCTTCTTGTTAGAAAAGCATGAGGTCTACCAGGCAACACGAATAGCTGAGTGTCAGGCACATGTGAGACTCTTTAAAAGAAACAGTTCACAATCCACAACCCCACATATTTAAAACGAGACGATGGCAAAAATAAGATTCAAGTGTTCCGTCCACACTTGATTTCTCTGATTCATACCTGTACCTCTTTAACTTCAGAAATGACAAACACCAATTCCCACCTTCCCCAGAGTCCCCTTGGCCCACCAAACCTTGTCTGATTAACACCGGCTTCCCCTGTCTGTCCCTACATGGTTGAAAGAGAAACCCCAACCCAGGGCAGCACCTGACACCTCAGTCCGGCCCCGCCCACCTCAGAACTCTCCATGTGGGGTGTGTCCAGAGCGAGAAGCCTGAAACTGGCCCAGGTCCACGAGCTTCACAGCCTCTGTGGCTCTGACCCTCGGCTTCATCTCCAAAACCACACGCATTTCTCTCCAGGACTGATGCATCAGGAGGCACTACTCAGTCAGGCCTTAGGCCTCAGGCCCCCCAGACTGTCCCCACAGCGGAAACTTGGCAGAACAACTTGACAACTATCCATTTGATTTACTTAATGTAGGTCAATCAGAGTGGAGTTTGGGGACTCATTTACCTGTACTGGCCACCTAAACTGATCAAATAACAGGTAACTGCCAAATATGCCTCAGGCCACAAAGAGCACTCAGGACAAGCCCTAACTGGCTCACTCCTTGCTCCGGGCCCTGGCTGGCCTGACCACAGGCCAAACATCTCCCCGCTTTATTCTCCACCTGGCAGGCAAGTATGGAGGAAGAGCTCTGCAACAGGAGTCAGCCCCAGGGTTCAAGGCCCAGTTTTGCCACTTACAGCTGTGTGACAAGGTGCATAAGTGCTCTTTCGGTTTGCAGGAATAACAATGCCTCTCAAAAAGTGCATTTCCAACTAACTAAATAAAAACAATTTTAAAAATAGCAAGTATCCAATTTTCAGTTTTTCCCTAATGTGTCCAGTTTCCTTCTTCCATCTGCTAAAATAGCTGATCTTCTCCAAGACAGGCTGCTGACCACGAAGCATGAGTCTTCTCTCCCACTGCCAAGGGCAAGGCCTGGCTCTCAGCGAAGCTCTCACTCCGGCCACTTCTGATGGCACTGGCTTCTCTCTACTCCATTTTCTTCTCCTTTATGCATGTATACTTAGTCCCCATTCCGAAGAGCCTATCTTTTCAGTATTTTAGATCTCTTTACTTTCTTCTTTCAAGATGAAATTGTCTCATTTACAACTGCTACTCTAATTTACTTTTTAAATAACTGGCTCTTGACTTTGTAATGCATATAAAAACCCTAGTTGTCTCTAAAACCATATCTTTCAAACTGCAGGTCATGAAATCAGTTTAGTGAGTTATAAAAAGCATTTTTTTTTTTCTTTTTTAATGAAATGGATTAAAAGAGAAGGAACAAGATCAGAATGCACCCCTCATGGTAAGGTTAGGTGCTGCTCCTAAAACTGTTCCGTGTGTGTGTGTGTGTGTGTGTGTGTTTCAGGTGTAAACTATGTTTGCTGAGTCACCATATAAAAAGTTTGGGAAACACTACTCTGTGGAAACCCACTGACCTCTGTAACATGTCAGTAATGTTTACAACCGACAATTTTTTTAAATGGCTCTAATTTGTAGCATCTGCCCATTTCTGTGGTGTGAATACTCCCACGTGGCCAATTTCAAGTTCCCAACATGACACGATGACACGGAGTTGGGAAGATATGCGCACGTCTGTTTTGGTGAGCTGGTTCCACCACACCACTGGGTGCTTTATCTTGACCTAAACCCCAAATCTCGTGCTTGCAATCTCATCTGTCTGCTCCGCCGGCTCCTGATGACTGCGTACTCTCCACTCTAAACCCTCTCAGGAGCACCAGACCCTTTGGGGTCTCCTGCTTTCTGCGGGTCCTTTTCTTTCTCTTGTCTTTCTGGGCATCTCCCAAGTTTCAGTTCTGCTCTTCAACTTTTCTCCAGCAGTCAATGACTTAAAGAATTCATCCATTCCTAGATTCTCAAATAGATCTAGTTGTAAAACCCTAAATCTACATTTCTAACCTCTATGTCTCATCTTCTCCTCAAGCCTTTTCGTTGGGTGGCCTGAGACTTCTCTGCAACTTTTCTCACTACAATAAACATTCTACAGGCATTTGACAGCAAAAAGTTAAAGAATTTATCTTTTTGTCGTGCTAGCATTTTTATTATATTGCCTTGGAATAAATGCAGCAATGCTACAAATATTTGAGCGCAAAAACCAACTACAGAGGACAGTTCTCACAGTGATCTTGAGATGAGCACAGTTTTAATATTTAAAAAAAGAGAACCATGATCCCAAAGATATAGTGTCTAGGAAGTAGTCATAAGATAACTAAACTGTCCAAAAAAAAAAGAGACCAATTTTCTAACTATTTACCTAGAATTAGTCATCTGTGGCTAAGCAATAGGCAAAAGAACTCTCCAAACACTACAAGTATTTGTGATAGGCACAAAGAGTGACATAAAACCCTTCAATTATTCTCAACATTGTTTAAAAGGAAAAGAATCAAAAGCTAAAAATATCAGATTAA